AAAAAAAAGAGGAAAACTTCGATTGAACGGTCGTAAACACTGAGAATCTGAGAGCGTAAATCGTAACTTGTCAGCGGCAGTACTACATGTCAAACCCAGTTGCAAGCAATTTGAACGACATAGGCATCCCCTTACAAATAGCAGATTCGGGCAGTTATCATTTCCTTGTGACCGTAAATAAGATATTTCGAATCATCTGAAAACTGTCAGAAAACTGTTAGAAAATTTGCATAAGATATGATGAGGTGAGACTTATCACCGACGCAGTGCAATCGAGTCAATCAATGTTTCCTTCCATGTCTTGAAAGAGAAAAAATCATAACAAAGTTTGAAATAAAAGATTTAATGAAATCATAATGTCATAATTCCACACTTCAAACAACTTATTATCCACACGTAAATCGCAACTTGTCACTTAAACGAAACTCCCCATGGTTAATATGAAATATGGATTGCTTCATGTCCTTCAGGAAAAAGAACAGCGATTTGGTCACCATTATTTTCCATACTTTTCTTCCGGATATCTTTTACAAGCTTAAAGAAAGATGAATATAATGCAATCTCCCAGTAATTTACACGAGAGGAAGTCAAAGGTCTCTTTAATTTCCCCCTGATGTTCACTCCATCTCAATGTGGCTTTCGCAAGGCACATTCTACTCAGCATGCAATCCTAGATATTGTGAATGCAATACAGACAAATATGAACAACCGTTTATTCTCGTGCGGGATTTTCATTGATCTGAAAAAGGCTTTTGATACTGTAGATCACGAAATTCTTTTGCGCAGGTTCGATCACTGTGGTTTTCGCGGCATTATACACATCTAATTTCCTTTCTACTTGCAAGGGCGAACTCAAACAACTCAAATTGGTCCTCATATTTCTGAAAGGTTAGATTCTACCTGTGGAGTGCCTCAGGGTTCTGTTCTAAGCCCACAACTTTTTTCGTTATATATCAATGACATACAGGAATCGTCAGATAAGCTTAGTTTTTACCTCTTTGCGGATGATACAAATTATATTTTGCCCTGCCCAAAGGAAACTTTCTTATCAACCTAGAATCGTGATATTTGATAACAAACAGAACAAGAAGGTGGCTCTGGAGCATAAAGATTATGTCAAATATCTCGGGATTTTAATTGATAAAAATTTGTCTTGGAAACGCCATATTGACCATATAATCATTAAAGTAAGCAGAACCGTAGGATTAATCGCAAAATTACGACACTTTCTTCCAACGCATACCCTCTTAAATATATACCAAGCTCTTATGGCTCCTTACTTAACATACGGTCTGACAGTATGGGGTCAGGCTTGAAAATC